AATATTTTATATGCCTACGTTGGTGTATTCAAAATACTATTTTTAGTTTTATGGAATAGAATTATTCAAATAGATTCTATAAAATGAATACAAACGATGTTATATCATCATCGTGTGATTTATTTAGAAGAGGAAAGTTCACAGATTGTTGCAACGTTATTCAATTTCATATTGATAATTGTCATTTGCAAAAAATCACTTTACATGACGAAGTGGAGTATATAATACTTAGAAACAATTTACTTGTTTGCAATTCTCTGGTATGTATCAACTATGCATATTGAAATTTGTGTAATATTAGAAAACATTTTGRATTTTTTAACTGTTTTGGTAGAGGATTTTACCAGAAATTAGTACTGAATATGTTTTGAAGATGAACGAGTTTATAAATATTTCTCAACTGTATTTATATGAGAAACATATTCCATTGGAACTGCGTATCAATTGTGTTAATAATACTTTGCATTGGTACTGGTTGAAACCAACCGACATTCCCGATTATTGCTATAATAAAATAATGACATTAGTCAATAAATCATTGCATGAAGGTTGGTATTTTATAACAAATATTCATAATTCACTAATCAATACTATACTAAAACTTAATAAAATGCTATTTAACCATTTTCAGTATTACATGAAAATGGAAAGAGTACTGTGAATTTGGGATCTCATGTCGGCAACGAACAAGATATACTTAATAGCCTTGAATGCCTGTCCAATGGATTTCTTAGTTTAGAGCCAATATTGGTTGTTCAATGTTTAGAAATCTCACAGATATTACTATTAATTTTTTTGTCTCGACAAAGTTTTACTTCACTCTTAGTACATTTTACAATGGAATTGATAAATCAAGTCAAAACTATAATGTGTGCTATTAAACTTAAAAAACCAAGCTATGTTGCTAACTGTTTTAAACTAGGACTTTCAAAACTCAATGTTTTTCTRGATACAGAGCATATCAAAACAATAGTTATTAGTGGGCATGTGTCCTTGTGTATAAGACACATTTTGGAAAATCAACATCATCAAGCCGTATCTACACTGAGTACTATGGAACAATACTTATTGAATCAAAATGATGAATTTTTTTGTTTGATGTGCTATTTAAAGGCTCTCGCAAATTTCTATTTAGAAGAGTTTGAAATTACATTATGTTATTTATCACAAATGGTTGAATGCCTGATGGAACCTTTTATTAAATCAAGATGTTATTTATTACTTGGGAGAACTCATTTAAAAATGGGTAATAGTGATTTGGCAATTCAGTCATTAGAGAAATTAAAAGATTCAGAGTTTAGTAATATAATGGCTTATTACATGTCACTGCATTATGAAATGAATAACATGCAGTTTATGCAAATGGTGGTGTTGGAACAGGCTATTAAGGTAAATGTAGTCGCAATATACTTTGTACTGAATGCCACTGTGTAACGTGTCAACATATTATATGATTACTTAAAATGGCTCTTTAGGGAGATTTTGATGGACATAAAGGGCATGAAGAATTGTCCAATAGTTACACAACAAAAGTACTAATCATTTTACACCCTCAACCAGATCTGACTAAAAGGCAATTACTTTACTTAGCGGCAAAAAAAAAATATGAACACACTGTATGTATTTTTTAACACTGTTTTATTTATACACTAATCATTTTAAATGATTTTTTTAGAGTTATAATCTAGCAGCTTCTACTTATTTAAGTCTTTTAAACTTGAATGTGGTTGATCAATATGTTTCTGACTTGGTAACAATTCCATCAATGTTTATGCTTAAGCACGAAGCAGCTGTAGCTTTGTTAAAAGCTCGTAAACCAGAAGAAGCTTTTAAACTATGYCAATCCTTGATTGAAGAATATGAACCAGGATACAGCATGTGGAAGAGCGATTCATTCTGGGCTGATGAACTGAATGATTACAATTTTAATGTAGTTGGAACAATGTTATTGGCTGAAACGGGATTTAATAAAAATACTGATTTGGTTTTGGAAGCACTAAACAAGTAAATTTTTATTTTTTAATTGTATGGATATTCTTTTTATGATATTTATGATTCAAGGTCTTTCAATTGTCTGTATACTAAAATCAGTCTTGATTGCACGACGGAATTTGGTGATAATGAAGAAGAAAATATTAAAACTTTGCGACGAATCCTCATAGGTAAAATATTATTACTTAAAGCAACAGTTTTGAGCAAGTTAAATAAAGAA